TACTTTTATACTGTCCAAGAGTAGTACATCTTGTTTTTTTTTTCCTTTTTTTTTTTAAAAACAGATGGCCAAACCAGGACATATACTAAAAAAAAAAAAAGGAAGGTTACTTACCTGAGCCCTAACATTCCAGCTACCATGGAATCCTGTTGGAGCTGGTCTACAGAAGCAAGATGTATTCTGGGGAGTCACATGTCACATCAAAGCAGGAACTGGTGAGTCTGTATTTTTATGGAGCCTAAAACAAAGAAAATCGTAAGTTGAAAGCCCCCATTGTGCTGCAGGACCTTTTTCCCAGGGCTATTTGGGACATTTTGAAGATAAACATATAGACAAAGTACTATGCTTATTTCCCAGCTTACCTAGCTAGAAACAAAGGATAAACTGCGAATTTCTGGCATATTAACACACAGTGCTAAAATGAAGGAAAGATTCGTGCATGTTAGAATCCATACCATCACAGGTCTTGTCACCTCTGAAGGACATTTTGACACTATAAAGCATACTGTTAGCGGTGATCTCTAGTAAGTATTTCTTGTATCATGTCATACAGAAATACTCAGAGATAGAATACATGTTCAAAAGAACATGCAACACTAAAATCTCATCCCAAAAAGAATATGTGAAATCCAGAGGCAAAGTGTCCCTTAATTCTCAAACACCTGAAGCTGCAACAAGCTGGTAACGTCATGCAAAGGGGCTTTAACCCTAGGAGAAAAAAGCAGTACCAACAGAAATCAAGTGCCCTGGGAGATCCAAAGCCATCCTCCAAAATACACAAGTCTGACTCCGAGCAATCACTTTTAAAAAGCCTCTCAGATCAGTAAATTGCAATGTTCAACAAACTGAGTTCTTAGTTTGACAGTTTCTCTTTTGCTTTTGAACACATGTTCAAAAAAGGACTTTTGCCATTACATTTTCCATCATTAAGATAGCCATTATTTCCTTCTTAAAATTTAAACTGGGCCATATTAGCTCATCTCTGATACCTCGCTGGCCCAAGAGTAGCACTTTTATCTTTAGACTAAAAAAAGCCTAGCATGTACAACTTAGAAACTATTCCCACAATTACTTGTATAATCAAACACAGATGAGGGGCAACACCAAGCAAGTCTTTTACTTATAGCTGGTCTGTAACACCAGGATGGTGCCTAGAATTATTTATTGAGGTACACTGAGGGGGTTTCAAGTCCCTTAACATTTGAGTCATAGAATGCTGTGAAATCCTCAAAGTCAAGGTAACAGTATTACTCAGTTAGCTATATAGTAAAAATCAAACTGATATCCTGGCTGGAAGGCCCTGAAAAAGCCACAACTTCTCACAGCCACAACTGTTTTTTTTTTAACTTATTAACTGCAGGAGCTGGATTAAGGTTCCTTCCAGCTCTGAAAGTTTAAGATCTTTGATTAACTCAAGATTTCAATGGGGGATACAAAAGCCAAGCAAATGAGAGCAGTTAGGTGAAAACCCAATAAAACAGTGACTTGCAGGTCCATATATATATATATAACACCCCCAGCTCTTAGGCAAAGAAGACAAGTGACCACTTCCTCAGGCTTGCTCCCGAGAGTCCAGACTTCTGCAGTAACAGCAAAACAGCTATACTGAGAACACATCCACAAGCCAGCAGACTCAACACAACTGTGTCTTGAAAAAGCTATAAAGGCCAAGGCTTTATTCTCTAATGGAATGGCCACCGCACTCTCTGAGTGGGGATGCCCTGCCCACCCCAAACTCCCCTTTCCACTCAGGTCCCCTACACACCATACCTACCATCAAAGTGGTGGAACCACGTATTTAAGCAATGGCATGCAAATTAAGTTTTCAATAGGTAAAAGTTCCTTGCAAGAGAAAGGCAGAAGAGAGCAGGTAAATGCAGAGGAACACAACCTTTGTGTAAGTGATCCCAAGTAAGGGGAGCCCATTTACATCTTTCCTAACCAAAATGAGGTAGAAATACAGTGGTGATGATGGCAGTTTGCCTGAACAGGGCTAGTACAGAAGCATTGAGGACAAGGTCCTTCCATTGGAGCGGCAATAATGCTCTACTCAAGAAAAAAATGTTGTGTCCGTCAGCCACAGGAGGCTGGTCTCGTGTCACCGTAACAGAGAGCAGTGAATACAAGCAGGTGTCCTGCCAAACGCCCTGGAACTTGCTGCCAGTCTAGGACTGTTCTTTACCCCTGTGAGATTAAAACACTAGCTACTACAGATGTCAAACACTTTCTGTGATTCTTCCCTCCTCACAGATACTCAGGCAGCCTGCCAACAAAATGTTCTTATCCAATTAAAAGATTTCCACTGATATTCACCTTTATAAAAGATTACTGCTTCCAGGACACATCATTTATCATGCAAATAATCCCAGGCAGGTACATTAGCGGTGGAAACTGCGCTTGAGACAAGAACTAACAATTTTACCTCTGCTCTTCTTTATTCTAAGTTAAAGAAGTGAGCTTCTCATTCCATCTCCATGTGGGGGAAGGAGTATTTGGGGTGGGGGACACACTGCAGCCATTTAGCCAGTTTTTGTCAAACTCCACAGCTTGCCTCCCCACCTCACTAGATTCAGCCTCTCAGAAGAAGTGCAGGCAGGGAAACAATGATTCTGGCTGGAAATTGCAAATAGAATGCAAAATTCTATTCTAACCCCACCAATACACAAACAGCACTAAAGCTGGAATAGGATTTGACTGCATCATGCTCTGTCAGGTGAAACAAAGACCTGGTATTCTAGGTTTAAAGCATTCCAGGCAAATTTGTAACAATAAGAAATAGGACAGTGTGATAAGCCATTTTGGGCAAGAAAGCCGTAGGTTTCTTCAAGCTGTTAGGAGTTGCTGACTTCAGATGCCACCAGGAACTTTGCAGAGACATTATATTCTGGAAGCTGCCTGTGCTGTTTAAAGGGCTAGGGATATAACAAACAGCTTGCCGGAAGGCATCATAGGAGGCAAGCACATTGCCAACAATGGCAAAACAAAGCAGAGCCCTTGTCCTGTCACATCTCAGGCTCAGATGTACAAACCTTGGAATCTTTGTCAAGTGAGGTTTCTGTGTCTATGTGCATGAACAGGATGTACCTTAGTGATCAGACACCTAGCTGACATGCCACAAATGGGTACCGTACTTCTACTAGATTTGACTGTGCCCTTTAAGGTTCTGACATGTCTAAGCAAGAAAATAAAACAAAGTGTTTCCTAGGCTTCCTGACTGGGATTTGAAGTAGAAGTCCTAAAAAAGCCCATAAACAAGCCTATTTCCCTGAATCCCTGAGGGGAATTCCCAAAAGACCTAAAAATCCAGACCCTGTATTTTTAAGAAGGATCCAGCATATTTCAAAAGACCCAAGAGGTCAGTTCAACCTTGTTAACGGCAATCACTGAGATCCAGATGAAAATTCCAGCCACAAAATACAAATTTCTCCTCTAGAGTAATAACTGTCTATTAACAGCAAATTATACTAGCAAGGTCCAAATATGCTTCAGTTTTCTAATATAACAAATGCTCACAACTTGTGCAAGTCCTACAAAGTCTAAGCCACTTAGCACCTCACACCGGTAGGTTTGGTTCCACGATCACCAGCCACCCCCTGAATTTGATCCTACCATCTCACAATTTGGGGTATTGATCCCACACAGCAGACACAATGTATGAATGGTTCTGCAAAGCCCATTCCTGTTCCTGGAAAAATAGCCAGAAGGACACATCTGTTTGACCATGAGTCAGGAATATCAATTTTGTGGTGGAGCCCATTTCTGCTGTGACCAATTCACACTGAACACACAACAGAAGTGACTGCCACAGAGGTATTCCAGAGCAAGCGTCCCTCTCTCGGGTCCACACTTAGCAATGTCATAAACGGTTTCCTCCGTGAGAGCACTCTTTTCAGACTCTTCATAATGACCTTAAGTCTTCAGTGCAAAACCACAGACACATTGCCACGCTATGTAAAAGTCACCTGAGTTTCAATTTGGGTGATTCAGTCATAACCAAACTAAAAAGAAAATAAACTTTCAGGGACAACTGACAGGAACCACAGCAATGCGATGAACTTGCCCCGTCTGGTACTGGTGATCTTCTTCACGCTCCAAGACTATGGGAGCCCGTTATATACTATGTCCCACTCCACTTATGTAACTGGAAGATCGCCGGCGAAGGGGGGAGGATAGGAAGGGCGCTCATATTCTAAGACCACAGCACCCGCAAAGACCCCAGAAGCGCGCTTCTATGGAAGAGCCTCAGGTGCTGCCGGACACACAATCCCCTACTCACGGCTCCTGATGGGAACTAGAACAGCCTCTTTAGGATGAGTTGTGGGACCAGGAGCACAATATCTAATCCCTTTTGTGGGTGGACAATAATTCCCACCTACTTGTTCCTGCTAAATGGGAAAGGAGATGGTGGACGACTTGCGCACAGTGAGGGCAGAAAGTCATGGAATGGGCGAGAAGGAGGGGGAGGCAAAGCCTGGAGATGGGGGTGAGAGCGCAGGAGCCCTTGTGGCGCACTCTCCCGACAGGAGGCGGACTGCGCACGCGCGCCAGTGGGGGGGGTGCCGAGTAACGGGAGAGGGGGCGCGCGAGGAAGGGAGAGGGGAGAGCGCGATCTAGGGAGAGGCCGGGGCCGCGGGCGCGCGACGGCGCCGTGGGCCCGAAGCCCCTGGAAGGGCACGACGCGCGCGCAGCCTGGACAAGTGAAGCCCCGGCGAAAGGGGTGCCCGTGGGGCTGGGGCCAGGATGCGCGCCGAAGGCGGGAGGGAGTGGAGCGCCAGGCGAAGGCGGCCCTGGAGGCCGCAGCGAGGACGGTCACCCGCGAGTGTGGGTGACGGGCCGGGGGGAGCAGTCACCGGCGGCGGCGGGAGGGGGAGGGTAGAGAGGAGGGACGCCATCCGCTAGCCATGTCGCCGACCCCGCGGGCCCCTCCCGCGCCACGTCCCGCCCCTACCCCCCGCCCCTCGGCAAGGGTCCCCGCCCGCGGCCGCGGCGGTCCCACTCACAGTCTCTCCTCCTCGCCTCCTCCTCCTCCTCCGCTTGGCGCGGCAGCGGCGGCGGCGGCCATGTTCCGGACGGCTTTTACCACAGCCCTCTCCGAGAGGAGGGAGCGCGCGCGCCTCCGACGCCGGGACCCCGCACGGCCGACGTCGCGTCCCGCCCTCCGGGCCGGCATGCGCGCAGCTGCACCTGCGCGCCCGCGTTTCGCCTCCAGGACCGCAGCGAGCCCGCCCGCAATTGGGTGAAACGGGCGGGGTGGGGCGGGGCCTCGGCGGTGGCGTCGCCAATTGGCGGGAGTTTGTGTCCATTCTGGCTAGGGAAAAGGGGGTGGGCACACTCTCCAGCTGTCGATTGGCTGCCGTTGGCCGTCATTTGGGGAAGAGAGGCGGCTTGAGCTCGAAGGGGTTGGTCTAGTGGGCGGAATTTGAATATTAAGAATTAATGGGCCCTTGCGGATGCTGGGGCAAGGGAAGGCCTAGGCTCCGAACTCCTGTTTTCGTGGCCCTTCCGGGCCATTGCCATGCTGTCCACAAATGCACCAAACACGCTGCAATAAGTGTTTCACTGCACCCTCATTTTCTCAAAAAAAAAAAAAAAAACACTTTTAGTAAAAGCAGTAAAGTTGCTTCCCTGGAGCCTGACGTTGTTCCAGCCAAGGGACCTTAATTTAATAGGCCTACCCATTGCATTCTTTCATCTGAGCCTTCCATGAGTCATCCTCTCATAGAGGCAGAGAATAAACTGACAGCAAATCACTGTCCTGGCCTTCGTGAAACTCTGGCGGGGGAAGAGGGTACATACCAAAGCTGCATGAGACTTGTCATTGCTGGATCAGATGGTTTGGTAGAGGTGTGAAGAAGGGGCAGTGGGAGCACAGAGGAACAGCACTAAACTCTATCTGGAGGGGAAGACTTCCTAGAAGAGGTGATTTGGGAACTAAGATCCAGCAATTCTGTTTTGGAAAAATACTTAAGAGTATGAGGAAGTTTTAGCCAATGAGGTGTTCAGGACAATACTGTTTGTCAAGGCAACCTTACTCTGATTCCAGCCATCATCCAATTTATCCAGTGCTCCTTGAGCTAGTTATATGATTAATAAGGAATCTTCTGATTCTGATTTGGCTCTCACCCATTCATTTATTAAACAGCTGCTATGTGCCAGGCACTGTTCCAAGTTCTGGATGCAAAGTACTGAACAAGACAGCAAACTAACATTCTTATGGTGTATATTTATACTAAACATATAAATAAGTGTGTAATGTAATGTCACATAGTAATACAGGCTTTGAGATAAATAAAACAAAGTGGTGCTATTTAGATATCCACAGGCTTTTGCCCTCATCTTATTCCCCCATATGGATATCTAGGGAGAGAATATTTCAGGCAAGTGGAAAGGCCCTGAGGAAAGACTATTCCTGGCATGTTGAGGGCTGACAAGGGAGCTTATGGGGCTAGAGAGGGGTGGGGTGTGCGGTTGGAGAGGCAGGTGGAGCCACCATGGGAACTGGGAGCTTATTTTGAGATGAGAAGCCCTTGGAGAATTTTGAACTGACAGCATCAGATCTGTGCTGTAGGTGCGATGTGGAGAACTAACTGTGCTGGAACAAGACTAGGAACAAGTGCCCATTCAGGAGGTTCTGACAACAGTCTAGGAGAGGTGACAGTGCCTTTAACTAGGGTGGTGGCAGTGAAGGTTCTGAGAAGTTGTAAGATTCAAGCTATATTTTCAAAATCAAGCAGAAAGGATTGTCTGTAGGGTATAAAAAAGAGAATAAAGAAGGATGATTCCTGAGTTTTTGGCCTGAGCAACTGAGTAAATGGGTGCCTTTCACCACAATTGAGAAAACTGTCAGAAAAGCACATTTTTGGAGGTACAGATCAAGGATTTTGCTTTGGTCATGTTAAGCTTTGTGTGCCTGTTAGACGTGTAAGTGGAAATGTTGAGTAGGTTGTTGGGTCAACAGTAGTAAACAAGTCAGCAAGCTGAACATCCAACTCAAGAAGCTATAAAAGGAACAGGATAGTAAACCCAGAAAAGTAGAAGAAAAATAGGATGAGCAGAAATTGGTGAAGCAGAAACACGTGATAGAGAGAACTGAGAACATCAGAAGCCAATTCTTTGAAAAGCTGGACAACAAAAGCCAACCTTCTAACAAGCTAGATATAGGAGAAAAGAGACAAATCAACTATTGGGTTGGCCAAAAAGTTCATTTGGTTTTTCCCATAAGATGGCTCTAATAGTGGTTAGTTGTCTTTAACTTCATTCAAAACAATTTTGTTAGATGGTATTGTGACATCTGTCATATCACCATGCATTTAAAAAAATTACCAAATTGGTACATTTTTGTGTAACCATTTTAATATTGAAGATGGAAGAAAATATGCAACATTTTTGGCATATTATGTTTTATTATTTCAAGAAAGGTAAAAATACAACTGAAATGCAAAAAAAAAAAGATTTGTGCAGTGTGGAGAGGTGCTGTGACTGAATGAACATGTCAAAAGTGATTAGCGAAGTTTCATGCTGGAGATTTCTGGCTTGATGATGCTCCATGGTTGGGTAGACCAGTTGAAGTTGATAGCAATTAAATCCAGATATTAACTGAGAATGAGCAACATTATACCACATGGGAGAGAGTCAACATACTCAAAATATCCAAATCAATAAAGTTATTGGTGAAAATGAAAAATGTGCCTTTTATTTTATGGAAAAAGCTAAATGGACTTTTTGGCCAAAACTAAATGGACTTTTCATTTCTTTATATTAGAAAATATAAAAATATTAGAAAATCTAATATAAAGAAATGAAAAGTAGATATGGCATATAGATACAATAGATTATACAATAGATGATAGATAACAGAGTTACATTTCAAACGGATATTATGAACAATTGTGTGGATACATTGAAAAACATAAGCAAATGAGTTAATTCCTAAAAAAGCACAGCTTACTAAAACTGACTCTAGAAGCACAAAACCTGGGTAGACCCTCTATGACCAAAAAGAAATTGACTATGCCTTTAAAAAATCTACCTTCCCCACAAAACAAAAGCTCAGAGAGTTTTACAGATGAGTTGTACCAGATCTTTAATGAGTGGGTAATTCCAAACATAGACAGAAAAGAACAAAATCTCTCCAAACTTTTATGAGACTAATATAATACTAAAACAAGCCAATGAAAGTATGACATAGGATATGGAAATAGGTGTAAAAATCCTAGACAAATAAACCGAACCTAGAAATATATAATAATATATCATAACCAAGGAAGCAAGGATGCAAGAATGCAAGGATGGTTTACAATTAGAAAATCAACCTTAACAGATTTAAGGGGAACAAATTATATGATTATTTCAATAAATTCAGAAAAAGGGTCTGATAAAATTCAACACCTACTTACGATTTAAACAAAAACAACAACTTAGAGAACTATGAATAGAAGGGAACTTCCTTAATCTAATCAAAGGTATCTATGAAAAGACTTAGAGCAAACATTGCATTTAATGGTGTTAAGTGGAAACAAAGCAAGAAACAGAACAAGAACTACAGTACAATATCTTTCATGCAAAATAAAACACGTGTGTGTGTCCTCCCATTTTCTTTTAAACTTCATCCTTGGAGTTTCAGCATGAGGAGAAAGACCCATTAATTCCAAGTTGATTCCCTGGTTGTTAGGATGCAGACATGGAAATTCAGCTAGTAATAAAAAATGGAAAAGGTAATGGGGGAGAAAAAAAGATTCAACTCACTCTAGCTACAAAAATTATAAAACAGTTGGGAATAAACTTAATTAAAAAAACCCAAAAACTTTGTTAAAAAACTATAAAACTTTACTGAAAAACATAAAAGAAGACCTGAAAAAAAAAGAAACTACCAAGGGAAAAGTAGACATAATAAAGATGTTGGTTCTTCATAAATTAATCTGGAAATTCTTTGCCTGAGTCAAAATCCAACAGTTTTTATAGACTGGAACAAATTAATGCTAGATTAGGAAGACTAAGTGTACAAGACTAGAATCCAAGACTTTTAAAAATATTTTATTCATTTATTTTTAGAGATGGGAAGGGAAGGAGAAAAAGAGAGAGAAACATCAATGTGTGGTTGCCTCTCATGTGGCCCCCACTGGGGACCTGGCTGGCAACCCAGGCATGTGCCCTGACTGGGAATCGAACCTGCGATGCTTTGGTTTGCAATCCACTGAGCCACGCCAGCCAGGGCTAGAATTCAAGACATTTTTGAAAGAGAAAACCAACAAAGAGGGTCTTGCTAAAAATTTCTTAGTTGAAATAAACAGGACTTAAATGATACAATTTCACTCTTGCTATTGAAAAGTAGGAAAACATACTAGAGTTTAATGCATATACTAGCAGAATTAAAATTGAGTCATTTAGCCCTGGCTGGCATGGCTCAGTGGGTTGAGCACTGGCCTTCGAGTCGAAAGGTCACCAGTTTGATTCCCAGTCAGGGCATATGCCTGGGTTGTGGGCCAGGTCCCTAGCTGGAGGCATGTGAAAGGCACCTAATCTATGTATCTCTTGCACATTGATATTTCTCTCCCTCTCTTTCTCCCTCTCTTCCCCATTCTCAAAAGTAAATAAACAAAATCTTTAAAAAACTCATGATCTTATATTAAAAATGAGTCATTTAAAAAAAATGGGACTAGTCCTGGCCTGTGTGGCTCAGTAGGTTGGAGCATTGTTCCATGGAGCAAAAGGTCACAAGTTCAATTCCCAGTCAGGGTACATACCTAATCACTCTTTCTCTCTCTCTCCCCTTCCTCTCTCTCTAAAAACAATGAAGAAAATGTCCTCGGGTGAGTATAAAAATATATTAAAATATTAAAATTGGAACTATAACATTTTTTAAACATCTCCCCTTAAAAATAGGACTGTAGAACATAAAAACCAGGAAAATGTCATAGAGATAGCAATGGACAGAAAACCAATAACCACAAAGATTTTATGGATATGGCAGATAGAGTGCAAACTTCTACTCCATCTGTCTAAAACTCTCTTGAACTGATAGAAATTATATATTTTTTAAACAAGTTTTCCCTTGTTTTTTTTTTAAGATTTTATTTATTTATTTTTAGAGAGGGGAAGGGAGGGAGAAAGAGGGAGAGAAACA